AACAAGGTGCCACCAAGTGAACAAGGTGCCACCACTGAACAAGGTGCCACCACTGAACAAGGTGCCACCACTGAACAAGGTGCCACCAAGTGAACAAGGTGCCACCACTGAACAAGGTGCCACCAAGTGAACAAGGTGCCACCACTGAACAAGGTGCCACCAAGTGAACAAGGAGCCACCACTGAACAAGGTGCCACTAAGTGAACAAGGAGCCACCACTGAACAAGGTGCCACCGCCCACCTCCGCCATGGCCAGTGGTCGCCTTGGTTACATGTCAACAAATATCAGCTGTTATCCCAAACACACTGTTGCCATACACTGATCCTGGCAATAGAGATCAGCTGATAACATAATTTATCCAACCATCCCAAAAACAGTCTTGCTATAATTTGATTCGTATCTCTGGTTATCAGATATAAATCTACGATGGTAGGTGCGGAAGGTAGTACAGGGGACGTACAAGGAAGGGTAGGAAGCAGGCTGTGAAGGGGGTTTTGAGAAGTATGGGCTTGAACACCCAGCAGAGGCGAATACTATTATTACTATTATTATTATTATTATTGGTAACAGGGATGATGCCAGAAGGACGGCTCTGATTATTTGGTCTACGAGCCCTTCATCAGCATTAAGGTATATCCTTCGAAATGTACAAGTTCAAAGTATTTGTACATGGAGAAACTAGATAGCCAGAACTGAGGTGTTACAGTGGTAGGTACAGTGTACTGTGTACGTCAGTTGTTACAGTGGTAGGTACAGTGTACTATGTATATCAATGATATGATGGTAAGTGCAATGTGCTGTCTATGTCAGTTAATGTTACAGTGGTAAATAGTAAGTACAGTGTACTTTGTACATCACTTAATGTTACAGTGGTAAGTACTGTGTATGTCAATGTTACACTGGTAAGTAAAGTGTACTGTGTATATCATATTAGGATGTTACAGTGGGAGAAACTGTGTACATCATGTAAGGATGTTACAGTGGGAGGTACTGTGTACATCATGTGAGGATGTTACAGTGGAAGGTACTGTGTACATCATGTGAGGATGTTACAGTGGAAGGTACTGTGTACATCATGTGAGGATGTTACAGTGGGAGGTACTGTGTACATCATGTGAGGATGTTACAGTGGGAGGTACTGTGTACATCATGTGAGGATGTTACAGTGGGAGGTACTGTGTACATCATGTGAGGATGTTACAGTGGAAGGTACTGTGTACATCATGTGAGGATGTTACAGTGGGAGGTACTGTGTACATCATGTGAGGATGTTACAGTGGGAGGTACTGTGTACATCATGTGAGGATGTTACAGTGGGAGGTACTGTGTACATCATGTGAGGATGTTACAGTGGAAGGTACTGTGTACATCATGTGAGGATGTTACAGTGGGAGATACTGTGTACATCATGTAAGGATGTTACAGTGGGAGGTACTGTGTACATCATGTGAGGATGTTACCGTGGGAGGTACTGTGTACATCATGTGAGGATGTTACCGTGGGAGGTATTGTGTACATCATGTGAGGATGTTACAGTGGAAGGTACTGTGTACATCATGTGAGGATGTTACAGTGGGAGGTACTGTGTACATCATGTGAGGATGTTACAGTGGGAGGTACTGTGTACATCATGTGAGGATGTTACAGTGGAAGGTACTGTGTACATCATGTGAGGATGTTACAGTGGGAGGTACCGTGTACATCATGTGAGGATGTTACAGTGGGAGGTACTGTGTACATCATGTGAGGATGTTACAGTGGAAGGTACTGTGTACATCATGTGAGGATGTTACAGTGGGAGGTACTGTGTACATCATGTGAGGATGTTACAGTGGGAGGTACTGTGTACATCATGTGAGGATGTTACAGTGGGAGGTACTGTGTACATCATGTGAGGATGTTACAGTGGGAGGTACTGTGTACATCATGTGAGGATGTTACAGTGGAAGGTACTGTGTACATCATGTGAGGATGTTACAGTGGGAGGTACTGTGTACATCATGTGAGGATGTTACAGTGGGAGGTACTGTGTACATCATGTGAGGATGTTACCGTGGGAGGTATTGTGTACATCATGTGAGGATGTTACAGTGGAAGGTACTGTGTACATCATGTGAGGATGTTACAGTGGGAGGTACTGTGTACATCATGTGAGGATGTTACAGTGGGAGGTACTGTGTACATCATGTGAGGATGTTACTGTGGGAGGTACTGTGTACATCATGTGAGGATGTTGCAGTGGGAGGTACTGTGTACATCATGTGAGGATGTTGCAGTGGGAGGTACTGTGTACATCATGTGAGGATGTTACAGTGGGAGGTACTGTGTACATCATGTGAGGATGTTACAGTGGAAGGTACTGTGTACATCATGTGAGGATGTTACAGTCGAAGGTACTGTGTACATCATGTGAGGATGTTACAGTGGGAGGTACTGTGTACATCATGTGAGGATGTTACAGTGGGAGGTACTGTGTACTTCATGTGAGGATGTTACAGTGGGAGGTACTGTGTACATCATGTGAGGATGTTACAGTGGGAGGTACTGTGTACATCATGTGAGGTGTTGCAGTGGGAGGTACTGTGTACATCATGTGAGGATGTTGCAGTGGGAGGTACTGTGTACATCATGTGAGGACGTTACAGTGGGAGGTACTGTGTACATCATGTGAGGATGTTACAGTGGGAGGTACTGTGTACATCATGTGAGGATGTTACAGTGAGAGGTATTGTGCACATCATGTGAGGATGTTACAGTGGAAGGTATTGTGTACATCATGTGAGGATGTTACAGTGGAAAGCACTGTGTACATCATGTGAGGATGTTACAGTGGGAGGTACTGTATACATCATGTGAGGATGTTACAGTGGAAGGTACTGTGTACGTCATATGAGGATGTTACAGTGGGAAGTACTGTGTACATCATATGAGGATGTTAGTGGGAGGTATTGTGTACATCATGTGAGATGTTACAGTGGAAGGTACTGTGTACATCATATGAGGATGTTACAGTGGGAGGTACTGTGTACATCATATGAGGATGTTACAGTGGGAGGTACTGTATACATCATGTGAGGATGTTACAGTGGGAGGTACTGTGTACATCATGTGAGGATGTTACAGTGGAAGGTACTGTGTACATCATGTGAGGATGTTACAGTGGAAGGTACTGTGTACATCATGTGAGGATGTTACAGTGGAAGGTACTGTGTACATCATGTGAGGATGTTACAGTGGAAGGTACTGTGTACATCATGTGAGGATGTTACAGTCAGACTGGTCCTCACTGGCTCCTGATGTTTGTACTCTACTGCAGAGGCGGCTGGAAAACGAGTGATGGTAATTTTTTTTGTAATTATTGGCCCAACTTCAGTGTTAAAATAGCCAATATGTTGCATATTGCTTGCATTAATGTACCACCTGCAACTTGTACATTAACTCTGCAATTTCTCGGTAACGTGATTGATGTGGCGGAAATGGGAGAGTCAGAGACATCCCTGTTTGCAGATGATGTGAAACTAATGTGGAGAATCCAAACAGGTAAGGACCAGAAAATGCTACAAATTGACCTGAGTAACCTGCAGGTCAGGTATGACAAGTGGCTGTTAGAATAACTCTCAGCACAGGCACAGGTTATGAAAGTTCAGAACTGGCAGAGAAGACTGCAAACCAAGTACAGGAGAAAGAGAAAGAGAGAGAGAGAGAGAGACACACACACACATAGACAGACAGACAGAAGAGACAGACAGACAGAGAGAGACAGAGACAGAGACAGAGAGAGTCAAGAGACAAACTATAAAGTCACTCAAGGAGAAGGACATTGGTGTGGGTCATCAAGAGCAAGAAATCACTGAGGCTCTATTGTCTGCCCTTGAAGGTGGATAAGGCACGTCTTCAAGGGCTACTCTCACAGACTTACTGCAAGAGTAACGTGTCAGTCTAACAATTACAAATAGAGAATGCACCCTCTACTACTTATGCTTAACAGCCTTCACAAGTTCAGCTCTTAAAAAAAAAAAAAAAAAAAAAAAAAAAAAAAAAAAAAAAAAAAAAAAAAAAGACCATCTCCCATCAAGGCAGGTGACCCCAAAAAAACAGTTTTTTCTTTTTTCATTTAGTAATTTATACAGGAGAAAGTTTCTAGCCCCTTTAACTTTTAACATAGATATAAAAATCAAGGGAGCACCTTGATACAAGCAAAGGGTTCTTGATCCAATTAACTGGAGCTATTCTTCCCTTCCTTGTACAAATCTTAATTACTTTCCATACCCCAACTGCTAATCCTTTGACAGACTCACTATCATACTGTACTTAGCAGATCAGAGTCATCTACACTGGATATGTACTCTCTCCTGGGAACCTGTAATACTGTGATGAATGGTTTGAAAAACCGACAAGTTGAAGATTGAGACACTTATGCAGCATATGGGAATCTTTATTCAGGAAACGTTTCGCCACACAGTGGCTTCATCAGTCCAATACAAAGAGGAAGGAGTAAGGAGAGGAGGAGTATGAGGTAATCAGTCCCTCAGCCTGGAGTCGATGTGTTCAGTCCATCAAGATTGATGGACTGAACACATTGATTCCAGGTTGAGGGACTGATGAAGCCACTGTGTGGCGAAACGTTTCCTGAATAAAGATTCCCATATGCTGCATAAGTGTCTCAAACATCCTGTAATACTGGCATGGGCACTGTCAGCCTTCCATAACTACACTCACTCGGGTCACATTTCTACTGTATTAATGTTGGTAGAATTAGTGACAATATGTTAAGTAAGAGAACACAATGCAACTAATGTGACAATTTATTGTGGCAACGTTTTGCGACAATAAGATGATTGCATTAGTTGCACTTGTGTCCTTTTAACACACCTCTACTACCAGCACTGGCAGTCATTTATTATAGTCCTGCTGTAATCACGTTCTTCCATGTTCGTATCCACACCCATATAATTAAGTTATCTTGAAAACATTCACTCAGATTCACATTCATACTCACCAACAACAACAGCTGCAGGGGTGGTGTTGAGCTCCTGTAAGCTGGGCAGGTGGTGATGCAGCTGGTGCTGGAGAACCTCTGCACTGCGCAGGCGGCGCTTCTGGAGGGCTGCCGCGGAGACCCGCGTCCCCATCCTCACTGCATGACCCTGCAATTTATTCAACTTTGCTTTTGCCAAATTTTGCGTAAACAAAAAGACGTCATTTTCTGCTGAGTCCCTGAGCTTTAAAAATAAAAATAAACCTATATGGAAAAAATCTTCAAAGGGGCCTGGGTCATAATACATAGTTTTAATTTTAATGATGGCTTCCCAGCCTATTTTCCTTGTATTATTGAAAAAGATAAAACAGTCACAGACAGGTGCCAGTTCATCAGTAGGGTGAGGGAAGGAGGAGGGAATGATACATAATATAGTATAGAAAGGAAGGGCGAAGATACTGAAAGAAAAGATAAACTCTAAAGTGAGGAGTGTGATGACGAAGGAGAAACTGGATGAGAAAGAAGAAGAAATAAGTATTATATACAGAAAAAGAAAATTACTGTACAGTATTATTATAGTTATAGAAAACACTACATTCATGGGTAATAGAGGAGTTCTTCACTGGCATCAAGGAACCTCCTCTGAAGGGTAAAATGCGAATAAAATTGATTATTAAATAAAGGAATATTTGCAGAGAACGAATATCACATTTTTTTACTTTAGACAGGATAAAACTGTGAAGAATAATGAGAAAGGATGATGAAGGTGTGAGGAATGTATTGATGCTACAAAATAAGAGACAAAATAGGGACTGCAGTGTGGCAATAAGATACTGAGAGAAAAGTAAACTTTATTGCAGAGAATTCTGTACCAGTTGAAAGAGTTTACTGGTTGAAGCAAGGATGGTGCAATTGTTGCTGGTTGTGGTGTAAGTGATGGTGTCATGATATGACAGTTAAGTAAAGAAGGCCTCCAACTTACAAAAGAGTTGTACTCCTGGTTTTTCAACTTACAAATGAGTTGCTTATATAGAAAATTATAGAATAAATGAATATATTGCAAAGCCTAGTATAGAAAATTGTTATATTACACACAGACTTGTGATGCAGCTTGTCATTTGCAAAACATTAACCGGTTCCAAACCAAATTTGTAAGTTGAAGAAATCTTGTACAGGTAATGATATGTTGGCAATATCAGAGGCACTGACCTTCTTGGGTGAAGCAAGGAGTGATTCATCACTGCCGAACTCTCGGGTAAGCTCTGGTGTGATGCCTCCTGGCCCCTCCTTGCTGCTGCTGGTGTTCTCTATGTTACTCTTGGACCGCTGGTGGAATACCCGTGGAACTGATGTCTTCACTGTGTTTGCTACTCTTGCAACTTCCCGCTGCTCGTGTTGATGAACCTGCTGCTCATTTTCCAAGTTTTCAATGGAAAAAACCTCGTCAGTCTCATCTCCACCACTGCGCCATAGAATATCCGACAAAAAGTTGTCACGGGAGAGACTGTTTGATGATTTGTGTTCTCCCAAAAGTACTGGCCACAAAGATGTTGCCTCACTGACCTTCTCTGCCTCAAAACCTACACAACAGTTTGTATTGTCTTTATGCTCACTTTCTGCCCCTTGGATGTTTTCTAGGGAGCCAGGTGCATCAGTCAAGTGATAACCCGATGCAATATCTTCAGCAGTACCTGCTGAGGAGAGGCTGGTGCGAGCAGTAGTAGTGGCTGAAGAAGCACTGCTTGGGGCTTGTGAGTGAAACTCCTGCTGAGGAAGTACCACCTCACCAGGCAACCCTGAGCCTCCTGCAGGCAATGCCAGGCAGCTCAGGACAGTAGCATCATGCTGGAAACTCTGGTGAACAGTGGCTAGGTAGAAAACATGACGACTCCTGGTGGAACACGACACATGTAGTAATACTTATATTATGCACCTTTCTCATAAAATTTTCACAATGTCATTCTTTCACTTCCTACACACCTACTAAAATTTTGTTTACTTGGCATGAAAAATCATTATTAGACTTTCAATGCCTATACATGCATTGAGATTATGCCTGTACTAAGATGGTACACTCTTACAATATATTCAGTGCTTCCTTCACTCCCTACATACACACACTGTAATAGAAACCTGCACTGAACATCCATGTCACACATAAGTATAACCCAGGTAGACCCGGCAATGTGTGACCACAAGAGTTTGCGTGCGTGTGTGTGTGTGTTTGTGGGGAAGGGGGCAGAGGACTACTTTAACAGAGGCCAGGGAAGCCCCTCACTCACATTGTACAGTAATATACTGCAACAGCACGCTACCCTTGCCTCTCCACCTGCTAGTTCCAGTGTCCACCTAATGTGAGGGAACATATGAGAGCGGGGAAACTGGGGAAGAAAGAACAAGAGATAGAATGAGAAAAAGAATGAAAGCTGGCAGAAAGAAAGAGTGGGAGATTATTATACAAAAGGGTTAATAGACTTAAATATGTATTAAGTGCAGGTAGGGAAGGATGGAGGTAGGGGGTAGGAGTGACATGGAACCTTGTACCATGAGAGGGAGGTGTGACACTGAACCTTGTACCATGACAGGGAGGTGTGACACTGAACCTAGTACCATGACAGGGAGGTGTGACACTGAACCTTGTACCATGACAGGGAGGTGTGACACTGAACCTTGTACCATGAGAGGGAGGTGTGACACTGAACCTTGTACCATGACAGGGAGGTGTGACACTGAACCTTGTACCATGACAGGGAGGTGTGACACTGAACCTTGTACCATGACAGGGAGGCGTGACACTGAACCTTGTACCATGACAGGGAGGTGTGACACTGAACCTAGTACCATGACAGGGAGGTGTGACACTGAACCTTGTACCATGACAGGGAGGTGTGACACTGAACCTTGTACCATGAGAGGGAGGTGTGACACTGAACCTTGTACCATGACAGGGAGGTGTGACACTGAACCTTGTACCATGACAGGGAGGCATGACACTGAACCTTGTACCATGACAGGGAGGTGTGACACTGAACCTTGTACCATGACAGGGAGGTGTGACACTGAACCTTGTACCATGACAGGGAGGCGTGACACTGAACCTTGTACCATGACAGGGAGGTGTGACACTGAACCTTGTACCATGACAGGGAGGTGTGACACTGAACCTTGTACCATGAGAGAGAGGTGTGACACAATCTTATACCATGAGAGGGAGGTGTGACACTGAACCTTGTACCATGAGAGGGAGGTGTGACACTGAACCTTGTACCATGACAGGAAGGTGTGACACTGAACCTTGTACCATGACAGGAAAGTGTGACACTGAACCTTGTACCATGAGAGGGAGGTGTGACACTGAACCTTGTACCATGAGAGGGAGGTGTGACACTGAACCTTGTACCATGACAGGGAGGTGTGACACTGAACCTTGTACCATGACAGGGAGGTGTGACACTGAACCTTGTACCATGACAGGAAAGTGTGACACTGAACCTTGTACCATGAGAGGGAGGTGTGACACTGAACCTTGTACCATGAGAGGGAGGTGTGACACAATCTTATACCATGAGAGGGAGGTCTGACACAATCTTATACCATGAGAAGGAGGTGTGACACTGAACCTTGTACCATGACAGGGAGATGTGACACTGAACCTTGTACCATGACAGGGAGGTGTGACACTGAACCTTGTACCATGAAAGGGACGTGTGACACTGAACCTTGTACCATGAGAGGGAGGTGTGACACTGAACCTTGTACCATGACAGGAAGGTGTGACACTGAACCTTGTACCATGACAGGAAGGTGTGACATTGAACCTTGTACCATGACAGGGAGGTGTGACACTGAACCTTGTACCATGACAGGGAGGTGTGACACTGAACCTTGTACCATGACAGGAAGGTGTGACACTGAACCTTGTACCATGACAGGAAGGTGTGACATTGAACCTTGTACCATGACAGGGAGTGTGACACTGAACCTTGTACCATGACAGGGAGGTGTGACACTGAACCTTGTACCATGACAGGGAGGTGTGACACTGAACCTTGTATCATGACAGGGAGGTGTGACACTGAACCTTGTACCATGACAGGAAGGTGTGACACTGAACCTTGTACCATGACAGGAAGGTGTGACACTGAACCTTGTACCATGACAGGGAGGTGTGACACTGAACCTTGTACCATGACAGGGAGGTGTGACACTGAACCTTGTACCATGACAGGAAGGTGTGACACTGAACCTTGTATCATGACAGGGAGGTGTGACACTGAACCTTGTATCATGACAGGGAGGTGTGACACTGAACCTTGTATCATGACAGGGAGGTGTGACACTGAACCTTGTATCATGACAGGGAGGTGTGACACTGAACCTTGTATCATGACAGGGAGGTGTGACACTGTACCTTGTACCATGACAGGGAGGTGTGACACTGTACCTTGTACCATGACAGGGAGGTGTGACACTGTACCTTGTACCACGAGAGGGAGGTGTGACACTGAACCTCGTACCATGACAGGGAGGTGTGACACAGAACCTTGTACCATGACAGGGAGGTGTGACACTGAACCTTGTACCATGAGAGAGAGGTGTGACACAATCTTATACCATGAGAGGGAGGTGTGACACTGAACCTTGTACCATGAGAGGGAGGTGTGACACAATCTTATACCATGAGAGGGAGGTGTGACACTGAACCTTGTACCATGACAGGAAGGTGTGACACTGAACCTTGTACCATGACAGGAAAGTGTGACACTGAACCTTGTACCATGAGAGGGAGGTGTGACACTGAACCTTGTACCATGAGAGGGAGGTGTGACACAATCTTATACCATGAGAGGGAGGTGTGACACTGAACCTTGTACCATGAGAGGGAGGTGTGACACAATCTTATACCATGAGAGGGAGGTCTGACACAATCTTATACCATGAGAAGGAGGTGTGACACTGAACCTTGTACCATGACAGGAAAGTGTGACACTGAACCTTGTACCATGAGAGGGAGGTGTGACACTGAACCTTGTACCATGAGAGGGAGGTGTGACACAATCTTATACCATGAGAGGGAGGTCTGACACAATCTTATACCATGAGAAGGAGGTGTGACACTGAACCTTGTACCATGACAGGGAGGTGTGACACTGAACCTTGTACCATGAGAGGGATGTGTGACACTGAACCTTGTACCATGAGAGGGATGTGTGACACTGAACCTTGTACCATGAGAGGGAGGTGTGACACTGAACCTTGTACCATGACAGGAAGGTGTGACACTGAACCTTGTACCATGACAGGAAGGTGTGACACTGAACCTTGTACCATGACAGGAAGGTGTGACACTGAACCTTGTACCATGACAGGAAGGTGTGACACTGAACCTTGTACCGTGACAGGGAGGCATGACACTGAACCTTGTACCATGACAGGAAGGTGTGACACTGAACCTTGTACCATGACAGGGAGGTGCGACACTGAACCTTGTATCATGACAGGGAGGTGTGACACTGAACCTTGTATCATGACAGGGAGGTGTGACACTGAACCTTGTATCATGACAGGGAGGTGTGACACTGAACCTTGTATCATGACAGGGAGGTGTGACACTGAACCTTGTACCATGACAGGGAGGTGTGACACTGAACCTTGTACCATGACAGGGAGGTGTGACACTGTACCTTGTACCACGAGAGGGAGGTGTGACACAGAACCTTGTACCATGACAGGGAGGTGTGACACTGAACCTTGTACCATGATAGGGAGTTGTGACACTGAACACTGTACTATGAGAGGGAGGTGTGAAAGGCAGTGTGGGACCTACATTTTTGGGGCTCTGAAGCTTTAACTGTTATGGGGGCCCCTTTGCAACCCCTTCTTGTACAGGAGACTCAAAATTTTTGAGCCATGTGGACTAAAGTTGCTTCTAGGGCCCCTTTGGGATTAGTAGATTCTTCCCTGGAGAAGGAAAGTACACCTACCATCCGACTTACGACCGAGTTCGGTTCCAAGAAACCGGTCGTAAGTCGAACTTTACTATTGAATATCAACAAAACATTTTTGTAATGACTTTATTTTATTGTTTTATTTTGGTATTTCATGTTTTACTTTACTTTTTATGCTGTTAGTACTGTATTTTATACTGTAAGGTTTAGGATAAACACTGTGTACAACACAAATAGTTGTTTATTTCCCAGAAATTTGGCATAAATACACGTTCGTAAGTCGAGTGGTCGTAAGTCGAGCAGGTTGTAAGTCGGATGGTAGGTGTATTATGTCTTCAACTGTACTTTCTAATATATATACAGTGGACCCCCGACTTAGGATATTAATTCATTCCAGAAGTCTGTTCAGGTGCCGTTACCGAACGAATTTGTTCCCATAAGGAATATTGTAAGTTAGATTAATCCGTTTCAAACCCCCAAAAATACACGGACAAAAGCACTTACAAAAATACACTCACATAATTGTTCGAGTTGGAAGCTGATCGTAAGGCGGGGGTCCACTGTATATATATATTTTTTTTTTTTTTTTTTTTTTCAACAAGTCGGCCGTCTCCCACCGAGGCAGGGTGACCCAAAAAAGAAAGAAAATCCCCAAAAAGAAAATACTTTCATCATCATTCAACACTTTCACCACACTTGCACATTATCACTGTTTTTGCAGAGGTGCTCAGAATACAACAGTCTAGAAGCATACACATATAAAGATACACAACATATCCCTCCAAACTGCCAATATCCCAAACCCCTCCTTTAAAGTGCAGGCATTGTACTTCCCAATTCCAGGACTCAAGTCCGACTATATGAAAATAACGGTTTCCCTGAATCCCTTCACTAAATATTACCCTGCTCACACTCCAACAGATCGTCAGGTCCCAGTACCATT